TAAACTGAATAAAACTAAATAAAATATGTGTAAGTTGAACTTTAAAGTCATTCAGATGAATGATACAATCTACAGTACTGGAAAGCAGTATTTAACTGTTCAGAGATGGTATAAGAAAGTTCATACTGGAAATAGCCTTTTATCCCAGATTGCCAGAAATAAATCACCTGATTGAAGACATGACTTTTTAAGCTCTGTAGTTCCTTTATGTCCCTTTCCTTTCTGTGAGGTCAGTGATAACCATCCTCAGACATACACAAGTGTAACAACCTGATGTGTCTGTGTGCTCCCTCCTCTGTCAGGTTGAAGTGTCCCCTGCAGAGCACCAACAAGCGCTTCCTCCTCAACACCCTGCGCTCCACCGGCCTGCAGCGGCGCAGCGGCGAGCCCAGAGACGGACACTCCACCGCCAGAGGGCGCCTGAGGAGCGACTCCCCGGACAGGAGCCGCGACCGCAGCAGAACACCTCCCAGAGATCACAGAGGCAATGGAGGCCACACAGACCATAAACACCATCACAGGGACAGCTGCAATAACAAAGATAAGAAGCGGGACAGAGACAGAGAGAGGAGTTACAGGCACAAAGACAACACAGAGCGGAGACATGGGAGGGATGGCCACCACGGAGACAAAGACGAGTAAAGACTTCTGCCCAAGAGAGGAACACTACTTCTTTTTTTTTTTTTTTACAAAGGCCACTCCTTCCACAGAGAGACAGACTCTCCTGAAACTGATCCCTGACCAGTTAACACACCTCACAGGGCTGCTGGCAGTCTGATACACCTGACCGGGTCACCAGAGAAGAGCTGTCTTAGTTTACCGACAGGTCACTTTAGAAATGACAATCACTGTGTAGTAGGTTTATTTGACCCCGTTCAAATGTTAAATGTTCTTCTTTTTAATCATTTCACATTGAAATTGGAGTGAATAAACTCTCACGTGGCCGTAATAGCTCAGGAAAATCACGCAGACTCTTTTTTTTTTTCCTCTTCTTTTTTTGCCCACATTTTCGCACTCCCCCTCTCACGGTTCGGTTTCATTCCGTTTCCAGTAGAGGAGGTTTAATTTCAATTATAATGTCATTACCATTCTTCTGTCATTATTCAGGGCTCGTAATGTTTACATAAGCCATGCTGCTGTCGCCACTGGGTAAGCACATTTTATCGCGTGTCCAACTTTTTGACATGTATATACCGGCTATCAGAAACTGGGTTTGTTTGTCAAAGGAGAAAAAAAAAAATCTTGTTTTCCTGACACTCCTACATGTGCAGGAGCCCGTATGTACCAGTGGTCTCCAGCGATGGATTAATGTTCATTTAATAGCGACCAAAACGTTTTACTGTAATAACAATAATACGTTATTCAGCTCGTACAGAGATACGGTAAATCCACGTGTTCTGGTGGGGTCATCGGGAGTTTGAGGACAACAGATGGACATTTGCTCAAGCGTTCAGTGCGTCGCCGTTTATGTCGCTCCTATCCATTTGGCCTGTCTGCATGTGTTTAAGCTTACACTCTTTTATTGTTCCCCACATCCAGAGCGTTTTATAAACGTGGTAACTGTCAGTCTCTTTGGCCATGATTGCGCACCGGGTCTATTACAGCAGAAGACTCCTCGCTTGAGCCATTACGCATTTAAAAACCTCCCGTCAGCTAAAACGCGTTTAACGCCCCTCATGCTTCATAAATCCCGTTGTGCGCGTCCACTGTGGTGGAGAACAGCGTCGGTTAACTGTTTCCTTCCTCTTTGAAACAATGATCAAATATAAACACCATTAAGCCATAGTGCAGGGGGTGATTTGTATAGAATTGGTTTACTTGAACTTTATTGCATCGCTGAGTGCCCCATTAAGATACCGTGGAAAGTGCCATAATTGCTTTTGAAGAACTCAGAGCAAATAGTCTGTTGATACACACTATCAAGGTAAAAGCCATCGTCTTCCTGTACGATATATATGAAGAATAGTTAAATCACTCCGATGATGTGCGCAAACTCCGCGGGGGAGCTCGCGGGTTGTGGAGACACGCTCCACGCGCACGCCGGTTAATTGAGTCCTGTCTCTCAACCTTTAATTGGTTTACCACGAGAGCTGTTGTTTAATGGAGCGAGCGCACACCTACTAAAGGCTAATGGCCAGCAAACAGGGCGAGAGTGCAGCAGCTCCGTGTTTGTTGTCGCCAAGGGCCCTTCGTGCAGGGACCGAGCGCCCCCACACTCACACACACACTCTCACACACACACACACACTCACACACTTGCGCGCTA